AGGTGGGCAGCCCCGGCACTCTGAAGGGGATTTGACTCTCGCGGGAAGCCAGCAGGCTGTGCAGGGCCTGGGCTATGACAGCGGGGCCGAGCACAGCCAGCCAGCACTCCAGGCTCTGAGATGTGCACCCTGGTGGAGGAAGGTGACAGTCCACAGGTGTAGATTTGGGTGATCCTTCAGCCTTAACCCTGGCAGTCAGTCACATCAGCTACTCTGACCCCCGGTGGCAGGCCTGGGAACTACCCCGGCAGCCCAGGGGGGCTGAGATGGGTGCCTTAGAGAGGCTGCGGGTGGGGGATGTTCTGGGAATGACTGCTGGCTCTGGGGTGCACAGCTTGTCAGATAGAGGGCTTTCTTGCAGAAGCTGAGGTCTGCCCGCCCTGGGGCTGGCTTCCTTATTTGTCTGGTGTAAGTGTCCGTATCCACACCAAACACCACCCTCCATGCCGGCCCCTCAAGTCTGACTCCCAGCCACCCCAGAGGACAGAGAACTGCCCCTGTGGGTTTCCAAGGCGGTAATCTTGGCAACAGCAGGTGTCACATCTTCCTCCCGTGGAGTGGCGGGGGTGGGGGGGTGGGAGGAGGGGGTCCCAACAACCCACCTCTGGGCTGGCAGCTGAGCACTTTAAGCTGGCGCCATGAATGTTCTCAGGGCCAAGTTCAGGTTCCACCAAGACCAGCCATTGACACAGCAGTTCAGAAATAGACCCCGAACCACAGCAACAACTGCTAACTGCTGTGTTCAGGGGCTTTTTATTTTTGAGGGCTTCACTGGGAGAGGGTCTGTCCATGGCCCAGCTGTCCTGGGCGGCAAAGCGTTCCTTATTCCTTCCTCGGGCCCGATTAGCTCATCGCTCTGCAGTACTCTGCTGGGTGGAGGGGCCCAGAGCCAGAGCCCTGCGGTACGTGATCCAGACACCCACCCCACGTCCCTCGTCCCTCGCTCCTTGCCCTTTATGGCAGCCCCCGCCCTCCTTGCTGTCTTCAGCCTGGGGTAGCTGCGGTGCCAAACACAGGAAGGATCCAAGGCCTATTTGCAGCTGCCCCCCACCCCCACCCTGTCTTGTGTGACCAGGGGCGTTCTCTCTTTTCCGGGCTTCCGTTTTTCCAATATGGAAACAGCCCCAGCATGCTTTCTGGAGCTCCCGATGGATACAGCTTACTTAGAAGAGAGGTGTTTGCTAACTGCAGGATCTGGAGCTTTCTCAGGTGGAGAGAACCAGCTGGGGCAGGCGCCCCTCCCCCAAGGAAACGGTTGTGCCAGAGCTTCTAGGTCCTGTCTATTCAGATCTTTATCCTCCAAGTTTTCAAGAACTTGGTGCTTAACGAGGCTCTTTACCTAAGTTTCAACCTGATCTCAACTGGGCTCCCCTGTCACACCATGCTGCCGGCCTGTATCTTGCCTAGGGTCATTGTCCCCTGGCCAGTCATACTTTCTTCTCTCGGAGACTTGTGGGGGGCGGGGGGGTAGTGGGGAGCGCAGGCGTTGCACACGGGAACAGCCTCCAACCCACCCTTTGGTATATGGTACCGAGACCCAGAGAAGATAGGTTTTATAGGTTAAGAAAATAGCTAGTCCACAGTGGCATGGTCTGGACCATCTGAAAGAGAATTGTGGGTAGGGGGCAAGGGGGCAAGGAAGGCAGGGGGTAGGGGGCTGGGCTGCAGGAACAGCAGCAGGGTGGTGGCTGGGCCACCCCCTCAGCCTTCCTCCCAGCCTGAGGCTCGGGAGGAGCAGCCACAGTGCTGAGCAGGAGTTATTCTTAGGAATGCTGCAGTGCGGATGTGGCCAGCCCGCAAGAGCAGGAGTGAGAGTGACCGGGCCAGCTCCAGAGTCCAGGGACAAAAGCAGAGGGCAGGGGGGGGGAGGCTTTCATCCCAGCTCCACCAGTCTGTTCACCTGGGTTTTCATTTTCATAATGCCCTCTTTGCTGCCCCCTAACCACCTTTTGACATTGAGGTTTTCTCTCTCTTTCTCTGATTGGGAGAAGCCTTTCTGGGACCTGGCCAGGGAGTGGTGGTGGTGGTGGTGTGTGACACACTCTGGCTGAATTCTGGAAGGGCTTCTTCCGGTCTGAGAGAGGAGCAGGCCCTGCACCAGGTGAGGCTGCCTGCCCTCTTAGGGATTTACATGGCGCAGATGCCAGGGAACAGGTGTGCGAAGTTCTCTTGTCCCCCGCTGACCTTGGAGGGCTCTGAAGTGACAGGGCCTGGTCTGTAGCCGTGACTTTAATATAGTTCAACGTCCTGATCCAGGAAAGCAGAGCCTGTGACCGGGAGTGCCTGCTAGCCTGCTGCTGGTGGTCATGGCCCTGCCTTCTGCAGGCTGGGCCCCGGCAGTCCCAGGAGATGCTGCCTCTGATTCTCGCCGACTGTTAACACGGCACCTGGGGGTTCGTTCTCAGATCCCTGTCCTGCTTCAGCGCCCATGGGGCCCCCTTGGGTTTGGGCATCCAGAAATGCCAGGCTCCTGCTGCCCAGTGCCTTACTGGGAGCTCCTGGCTGTAGGGCCAGCCCTCGCACCCCTCAGTGTGGGCTTGGGTGGACAGCTGCTGAGCGTGTGGGGGTGAGCCCCTCATAAACTCTGTTGATGCAGTCTGTGTCTTGCAGCTGCTTTCGCAGGGTTAAATGTAGGGCAGGAGGCAGGGCACAGGCTCCTGGAGCTCTGTTCTGGTGCGGGCAGGAGGCGGGAGACCGGATCTGGGAGACTGAAGGTGGGAGACTGGGCCGGGTGGGCCTGGTGGTCTGACAGGGGCGGGAGGGGCGATGAGGCCAGCTCGACAGCTGGTGGGAGCCGGGCCTGAGTGGGGTGGGCACAGGAAGGGCCCAGAACGGCAGCAGTTGCTCGTAAATATAGCCCCTGGTGTGTGGCTGAGGTTACAGGAAGGCAGCCGGTCAGCCTGGCCCTTAGCAGCACTGCCAAGGCCAAGCCCAGCAGCTGCGAGGCTGGCCCCCATCCAGGCCTCCTGTGGGGAAGGGGGCCTGGGGACTGAGTGCCTAGATGGGAGCAGGAAGCTGAGGGCAGGGCAGGGCTCCGTACCCTACCCATGTTCTTGTTCTCCCCATGTCTGCCAGGTGGGAAGAGGAGTACACAGTTCGCCTACAGCTGCAGGAGCGAGTGAATGAGCTCCAGGAGGTGAGGGTGCCCCCCGCCAACACACACACACACACACACACTCACACACGCACAGGAGCTTCTTCATGGTCCCGAGGGGCTGTCCCTGCCCCTCTTGGCCTTCTTTACCTCCTCCCCATGTTGGCAGCGCCCCTGACGGGCGGGTTTTCCTCCAACTGTAGGAAGCCCAAGAGGCGGACGCCTGCCAGGAGGAGCTGGCCATGAAGGTGGAGCAGCTGAAGGCTGAGCTTGTGGTCTTCAAGGGGCTCATGAGCAATGTGAGTGCCGACGACCTCCCTCCCCAGGGCCTCTCCTTAGGGCTGCCTCGGTCCACCACTGGGTGCCCGCCCTGCCCTTCCCACTCCCTCTCCTCCAGCCCTCCGATTTTCAAAACACAGAAGCAGCTCAAGTCCTGCGGTCTGTCTGACAGGACAGCCCCCCCAGCAGGGCAACCTGTAGGACCAGGTGGACCCACCCACAGTGTTTCCAAGGCTGTATGTCTCGCCTCCTATTTCTCCCTGGGACTTGCTGGCGTATTTGAACTGCCAACCACAGTCTTAACATTTAACCCACTGCGCCACCGAGGCTCCTAGAGGTGGTTAGTGGTTAGTAACAGCATGGATTCTAGAGTCAGGCTGCCTGTCCCCGGACCCTAGCTCTGCACCTGGCTAGCAGGGTGACCTGGGCCTGGTTCTCCAGCTTCCCTGGCCTCATCTGTGGAAGGGGGCAGTCAGCCATCTGCCTTGCGGGATGACTATGCAGGTTAGAATGCATTTGGAACCCTGCCTTCCGTCCACTTAGTGCTGAGGAGTGTCCCAGAGTGTCATCCTCAGTGCTCCTCCTCCCACCCCTGGCCGTTCCCAGCCGCCTTCCCTTCTCCCCAAAGCAGACTTCCGGGGACAGGGACTCTGCTAGTTGGGAGTGTCCAGCTAGAGGGTGTCTGAGCAGCGAGTAGTGGGGACAGTGAGGCGTGTGCCCAAGAGCCAGGAGACCCTCTCATATGTTAGTGCCGTGGTGTGGGGGTTGTAATGGGAAGGGCCCCTGTTGGCGCCTGCCTGGAGGCCGGCCTCCTCCTCAGCCCTCCCCGCCTTCCCCGGGCAGAACTTGTCAGAGCTGGACACGAAGATCCAGGAGAAGGCCATGAAGGTGGACATGGACATCTGTCGCCGCATCGACATCACCGCCAAGCTCTGCGACGTGGCTCAGCAGCGCAACTGCGAGGACATGATCAAGATGTTCCAGGTGAGCCGCCGGGGCTCCAGGCGGGCAGGCCGTCTCCGCACCCCTTGTCGGCGCCCACGGCTCACCGGGCTGGGCAGGCAGAGCAACGTGGTCATGCCAGGCCCGGCCTGCTCCCTGGGGAACCGCATCCTGGCAGCCGGGGGCGCAGGTGGGCCCAGGCTGGGGGGCAAGGAGAAGCCCCCTGGAGAGGTTTGTAGCGGTCTCTCTCTAACACCATCTCTCCTCCCTCTCTCTCCTGTCTGCTTCCTGTCCTCTCTTCTCATCTCTCTTGCTTTCTCCACAGAAGAAGCTGGTCAGTTTTCGATGTCACTCACGCAAGCTATTCATGTCCCACCCCGTTTCCAAACCACCCAGGCCTCGGGCCCGCAGTTCTGACTCCCTGGCTCTCTAGTGCTGGTTGCCTCTTCTCTCCCCATGGCGGCCGGCCTCCTTCCCACCCCCCACCCCCGTTTGTTTTCCATCTCCTCTTCCCTGCCCTCACCCTCCAGGTCTCCTTCGAAAACTCAGAAGCCTCCTCTTACTACAAGCCCTAAAACTTGGCTTTGAAAAAGTCCTGTCATTTCCCGGAAAGACTTTGTTTAGGGAAGCCCCCCACCACCACCACCACCAAAACAAGCACTCTAGTCATGATTCACAGCATAATGTGGCCTCCACCTGCCAAGCGCCCGATCTTATCACTCTGCATTCTGTTTCTTCTTTTTCCTCATCTGCAGCCTTGCCCCGCCCTCCCTACCCATGCCTGTCTGTCTGTCTGTCTGTCTGTCTGTCTGTCTGTCTGTCTGTCGGTCAGTGGTAACTGCCCCTGTTGCTGTGCCTGTCTTAGGTCTTTCCTCTGTCCTCCCGGCGCTCCCTCCCCTCGCTGGTTCACGCTGCTCCGCACATCCTGCTTCTGTGTCCCCTGCTCCCCCTGTCCCCCCTGTCCCCCCTGCCCCCCCTGCCCCCTCTCTCCCCGCCCCCGCCGGCCCTCTCTCCTCATGCACCGGCCTCGGCTCTGCAGTCTCTGCACTTGTCTCCCATTAAGGTCCCGTCCATGGGGGGGCGGAGGCGGGAGCGCAAGGCTGCCAGCGAGGAGGACCCCTCGGTGTTGGAGAGCGACGGGCCCCGCCCGCCCGATGGGGAGGAGGAGGAGAGCGCAGCCCTCTGCATCAACGAGGAGATGCAGCGCATGCTCAACCAGCTGTGAGTCCCGCAGCTGCCTGCCTGCCCGCCGCCCGCCCGAGGCCGGCCGGAGCCGCCCCCGCGGCCGCCCCTGACGCCCCGCTCCCTGTCTCTAGGAGGGACTATGATTTTGAGGACGACTGTGACAGCCTGACTTGGGAGGAGACTGAGGAGACGCTGCTGCTGTGGGAGGATTTCTCCGGCTATGCCATGGCAGCGGCCGAGGCCCAGGGCGAGGTAACCGCCCCGGGCCTGGCCTCCCCGGGGCCCCTCCAGGACTGCCCCTTCCTGCCCCTCTGCCCCAGCCCTCGCTGTGACCCTTCTGTGTGGCCTTCATCCTTGTCCTGCTTCTCCCCGCCTGCCTCCCTCCCTGGTCCCGGGACTCGTCTCTCTGCAGTGTCCTCTAACCCAACGCTCGCTCTCTCCCCCTGCCCTCCCCCTGCCCTCCCCCTGTTCACTCCAGCAACCGGAAGACAGTTTGGAGAAGGTGATCAAAGACACGGAGTCCCTGTTCAAAACCCGGGAGAAGGAGTATCAGGAGACCATTGACCAGATAGAGGTATGGCCATGGGGTGTGTAGCCAGGGGGCCCAGTCTTCCAGGGCGCCCTCAGGGGCCGTGTCGAAGTGGGGTACCAGGGGTCTTTTCTCTCCTCCGGGAGGAGCCCTCACCCACCTGTAGTTCCCATCACGACCGCTGTCAGGCGCTGTCAAGTCAGTCAACTCATAGCCACCCTGTGAGCCACAGAACAAGGCCTTGCCCAGCCCCGCCCGGCCTCCTGTGTCCCTTCATCGCCTTGAGGGTCCTCCTGTTTTGGCTCCCTCTCTGCTGTACCCCAGCATGATGTCCTTTTCCAGGGACTGGTCCCTCCTGATAACATGTCCAAAGTCTATGAGACAGACCTTGTCATCAACCCTTCTAAGGAGCATTCTGGCCGTACCTCTTCCGAGCAGCTTTGTTCCCCTGGCAGCCCGTGGGACGCGTCACACCTCTCCCCAGTACCTCATCCGAAAGTGCCCGTGCTTCTTCGGTCGTCCTTGTTCGGCATTCCCGTGCACTCCCGACAGCTGAAAATACCCAGAGCGGCAGCTCTGCTTTTTCACACTTTACAGAAGTCTTTCCTAGCAGATTACCCAAATGCAGTGTGCACAGTTCGCTTTCTTTCTCCCAAACACCGTATCATTCATTCCATCGTTCCATCACACCAAGCAGTACACTAGCTAACACAATCAGTATCAAAATATTTCTTCCTTCTTGAACTCCTTGATTTTACCCCCCCGCCCTCACTGGACCCTCATTGAATTTCTTGATCACTGCTTCCAAAGGTGTTAATTGTGGATCCAAAGAAAACGAAAGCTTTGACAACTGCAGTCTTTTCTGCTTATTATGATGGTGCTTATTTGGTGCGGTTGTGAGGATTTTTTTTCTTAATGTTGGGGTGGAATCCACACCTATTAAAAAACCCCAAGCCCACTGCCCTCAAGTTGACTGGGACTCATGCCGCCCTGTAGGACAGAGTAGAACGGATCCCTCAGAGCACCTGGTGGCTTGAACTACTGACCTTGAGACACATGCCACCAGCACTCTGCCCTGTACTTATGGTGGGTTCTTAAAACCTCAGGCTCTGGATGCAGACCGATGTGAGAGTTTGGATCTCAGCTCAGCCTCATATGTTAGCACCCTAATTTTTGGCAAGTTCTTAATTCTCTCAGCTTGTTTGATCTTAAGTAACACTTCTTTCTACGGCTGTTATGAGATTAGGGGACCAATGCCCATGAAGAACTTCGGACAGTGTCTGGCTCATACTAAGCTGACCATAGTGGTAGTTTTATTGTTCATAATACTGCCCTAGGTGTGGTGCTCTGAGGTGGGCTTGAACTTCCCTGCTTCCTCAGCTCAGGCTCTGAGGAAAGGAAGAATCTCCATTCCATCCCCTGGCCCGCTGTGAGGGACCTGCTGCAGGTGGCTAGGAGAGCCCTGCTATCCTTTAAAATTCACCTGTACACCCTGGGGGGGCTGTAAGCAGTGGTCAGTGGGAGGAGTCAGACCTGCCTGTGTGTGAGGTAGCCCTGCCCCCTGCACGCTGACCATGGGAGGCAGCCATTCTGGTGTACGTCTCTCTCCAAGTCTGTCCGTAAACTTCAGCCTCTCCTGAAGCCCACGTGGCACCTTTCTGTGCTTTGCCTTTCACACTGCCTAATTTTTGAGAAGGAAATTGAACAAGAGTGACCTTCCCCAAATAAAAACCCTCCTACCTCAGAAAAAAAAAAAGAATGGCCTTCCTATATACCCGCTCTCTTAACACATGGAGTGGCTTCGCTGCTCTAAGCAAAACCTGCTTTTTCTCTGCCCAGGCAGACATGTGCTGAGTTTCAGTCCCGCTGGATTGATGCTTCCAGCTAAGGGAACAGGAAGAGAGAACTGGGCTTCTCCTGCCTTTGAGGATGTCCCCACGTGTCTGGCTCTTTGCTGTCTCAGCAGGGTGATATGAGGAAAAATGTTAGATGTGGCGACCAGGGGGCTCTGCCGTCCCCTTGCTCCTGGTGATCCATCTGGAGACCCGAGATGCCTGGTGTGTTACACAGGGTTCTCTAGAGAAATAAAACCAGATTGCTGATAATTTATATATATATATATATATTTATTTATTTGTTTGTTTATAGGTATATAACACAAGAAATGAACTGTTAAACTATATAGATATATAATACAAGAAATGAATACTTAAATTATAAAGCAGTACAAATGGCTCAGTGCAACTCACTCCCGTGAGAGAGTTGTGAGACACTAGCAGTCCTTCAAGTCTTGAGGGCCATCCGGTAGTTCTCTGTAGAGAGAGAGCTAGGCTATCCCAGCACAGGCAGCAAAACTGCCAGGCAGGTCACCAACTGTCAGCCAGGTCACCAACTGTCAGTCCTCAGCTCCAGAGATGTAAATTTCAATCGTGCGGTCTTAAAGGGACCTCAGCTTACAGCGACACAGTCCACAGGCTAGGCGTCCCACAGGTAGTGTAGCCTGTAAATCAAGGCACAGAACAAGCAAGGCAGCCGCACACTGGTCCGATGATCACGGAGCGAGAGACAAGAAAGGCGAGGCTCACCAAGCCATTTATCTCTCTGCCCTTCAGTTAATCCCACTTGTGTTTATTGGCCAGGCTGGCACAATAAACTAACTATCTCACCTGGTGAGCTGTGATCTCTTGGGTCATGGAGATGGAGGCAAGGGCTATTTCCCATGAGCAGGTGGTGGTCAGGCCAGGCCCAAGGTGGTGGGTGAGTGGTTTCTTTCCTCGCCGCTTCCATCCCTGCCTGCCTCACCCCACCAGTCAGTCAGTGTCAGTCACTGCCTGGCTTGTAGGGCCGTGTCCTCACCTCACCCTGGGGCTGTGAACGTGAGCCCTGGGGTTATAGACAGATGAGACACATGGTGGCACCTGACCGAAATTTGGTTTGTTGCCTTTCCCTGTCCCCTTGAGTGATGGGGGGCAGAACCCATCTTTTCCCTCTGGCTCTCCCAAGTTGGAGACACCAGACACCGGGGTGTAGGGGTAGCAGATGGGAGTCAGGGCTGGCGAGGTCTTCAGCTCTTGCAGTAGACGGCCAGCGTGCCCTATGCCCTGGCTGACAGCATCCGAGCATCTCACCCACGGGTGCTGTCTGGTCCGACGACCCGTGTACTTCTTTCTCCAACTGTTGTTTTCTCTCTGTCAGATTCACGTCACTCAAGGGTTTCTGCCCCCTCCCCCCACTCTGCTCTCAGCCATCACACAAATCACCTCAAGCAGTTTTATTCCGCTTCCCCCTCTGGCTCCAGTCCTTTGTACCCCACACAAAGGGGGGCCACGGCTGTCTCTGGACCAGATCTGTCATTGCCTGTGCCTGCCTCTCAGCTCTGCCGCACACACAGCGGGCCTGCTGCAGGACAGGTTCTCCTGGGAGAGGGACCGGACGGCCATGGCTCTCAACCCCACTGTCTCTTTCTTCTTCTTCTTCCCACCTAGAACATTTCTGGAATCAGGAAACCTAATCGATAGGGCGTTCAGGATGGCACTGTCTTTTTTAGTCTCTGAAAATGGCTTACAAGTGAGGTAATAAATGTATTCCCTTCAGAGGGCAGCCATCGCAAACGGTCGCAAGCTGGGCAGCTTCTAAGAACAGAGATGTTTGTGTTAGAGTCCTGGAGGCTGGGAGTCAGCATGGTTGCCCCCCCCCACCCCACACACACACACACACACACGATTCTGAGGGACAATCTGCTCTATTTCTAGCTCCAAGCTTCGGTGACAGCAGTGGTCTTTGGGCTTCCTGGGCTTCTTGTTGTCACTAGGTGCCGTGAGTCAGTTCCGACTCATGGCGACCCCGTGTACAGCAGAACAAGACTGCCTGGCCCGTCCAGCACCGTCCTCACAAGCGTCCGCACGCTTGAGTCCACTGTTGCTTTCGCAGGTGCCTTAAATCTCTGCCTGCACAGCCACCTCCCCTCCAGGTTTCTCCTCTTTCTTAAGGACACCGGTCCCCTTGGAGCAGGACCCATACTACACCAGCACTCAGGACAATAGAACTGATAGCACCTTCAAAGACCCCATTTCCAAACAAGTCACTCTTTCAGATTCAGGGAGTTAGTTGTTCAACGAGCAGCTCTTGGGGGTGGGTGGGGGGCTATGTGTGTGACAGCATGCACACATGCACAGTTTAGTCCACACAATAAAGTCACGTGGAGGAAATGGTCAGAGAATTGGCCCCTGTGTCCAGTACAGACAGGCTTCCTCCCTGGTTTCGCGAGTCTTACAGTACTTCACAGCATTCACTAATTTTCCTGGAGGCCCAGGGCACGCAGCCATGAGAAAGAAGACCTGTGACTGAGCCGTAAACCTGCTCAGAGGCGAGCTGCTTCCTTATCCAGGGACCAAGGGATGAGTCAAGCCCACCCTTCCCACCCCCACCCCCACCCCCACCCCCGCCAGCAAGGCAGCCCCCAAACGGCCCGCCCTGTGCAGTGGTGAGACCGTGGGTCCCCTCCATGTGGCCTGAGGCTCCATCGTCTCTAACTGCTCGATCACGAGAATGAGGCCTGTCGCAGCCAGCTCTGCAGTCCAAGATCCCGGCACGCTCGGGGAAAGGGTGGTATGTGGGTGCCTTCTGCCTCAGCCCTATGGACTTAGATCCCAAGTCCACCATGAGGCTGCCCGGAGCCCCTGCCCTGCAGCCACCTCGGCTCTTGGCACGGGAGCCTCCTCCCCGGGGTCGGGAGCAGGGCTGCCGGGCTGACCGGTGTCCCCCGCTCCTGTCACAGCTAGAGCTGGCCACAGCCAAGAACGACATGAACCGGCACCTGCACGAGTACATGGAGATGTGCAGCATGAAGCGGGGCCTGGACGTGCAGATGGAGACCTGCCGCCGGCTCATCACCCAGTCTGGAGACCGGTGAGCAGGCGGGCCCGGGTCGACCCTCCCAGGGGCCCCCTGCACAGCGGCTCAGCCTCGTCTGTACGCGGGGCTGCCCGCTGGAGGTCCCCCAGCATGCCCAGACCCAGCCAGTTGGGAGATAGTGGACCCCTCTATGGCTGGGACCGATGCCCCCAACTCCTGCAGTTCCCCGGGAGACGGCTTGAAAGCAACAGGGGACGCAAGGGCCTCACGTGGGGGCCGGTTTTTGAATGCATTTGGCTGTTAAGCCTCACTCAAAATGCTCAAGCACCGCCCCCTCCACGCCTCAGTGGTCATTTGGGGGCAGCGAAGCAGTGCCCCTGTGTCAGTGCACGGGGCTCTGAGTGGATCCGGACTTGAGGGATCTCTGACCTCTGATGATCCTTCCCTCAGCCCCCTCCGATCTCCCCCAGGGCACGATCTCCCCCAGGGCACGGGGGAAGGAGCAGGGCCCTCTCGCCCCAGGTGACGGGGGAAGGAGCAGGGCCCTCTCGCCCCAGGTGACGGGTGTTTTCTTTTTCTTTCTAGAAAGTCTCCTGCTTTCGCCGCTGTCCCACTTAGCGAGCCGCCGCCACCGCCAAGCGAGGCCGAGGACCCCGACCGCGATGTCTCATCTGACAGCGCCCTGAGATAGGGGCCTGCCCGCACCCTGGCTCCTCACTGCGGGGCAGGGCCCGTGGTGGCGCTAGGCTTGGCCCTGCCCCTCCTGGGTGACCCCCACCTCCGCTGGGGCATCCCTGCCTCACACGTGGGCATCTGCTACTCCCCCATCTTCTAAAACGCTGCCAGACCTGCCCCTTCACCCCATGGCCTCATGCCAGCTGTCTACCCCCATACTGGTGCTAACTGGCCCAGGCAGGGGTACGAAGCGGATGGTGGCTTGTGCCACACCTGTTGGGGGCAGCCAGAAGGGAGAAGGGGGATGGGCAGGATGCGGTCCCAGTGCCCACCTGACAGAGGCGACTGCCCTTCCCCCTCTGTGGGGCAGAGTGCCCGGCCCCGGGAGCAGACTGGTGCAGTGCCCTGGAGGAGCGGGAACTCTGGCTCAGCTCCCAGTCTGTGTGGAGGGAGGAAGGGAGCGGGCAGCAGGGGAAGCTGCGTGCACGCGCACAGGCTGGCTGTGTGTGCGCGCGCGTGCGTGCGTGCTCAGGGGCTTGCCTTCATCAGCCACAGATGTGCCTCCTCCGTGTCTGTTGCACGTGAGACCGATAGGCTGAGTAAGGGTATCCCGGACTTGCAGAAATTGGGAAGGCGTGATTGCGAATGTAACTGCTGACAATTGGATGGAACCTTTAATAATGAAACTGGCCATTATTTATCAAGCACTTGTGTGTCACCGTTTCCGGAGTCCTCTGGTATTGAGCTGTATACACAAGCCTGATTCGTTGCACCCCGTACACTGCACCCTCGTTCTCGTGGTCTCCAGCTCACCAAGGCATAGGGCTGGCCTGAGGAATTTGCTCACAATACAACTGGCAGAACCTGGAATTGAAGCCAGGTGCCCCTGCCCCAGCAGGGCCTGTGCCTCACCCAAGGATGGGAAGAGGGGCCCAAGGTCACCTCCTCCCAAACTATGGGGGTCAGGCATTAGCCTCGTCAGCACGTGACTGTATACAGCAGGGACTTGATACATTTTGCCTACTTCTGGATGTAGGTGCTGGGAACTGTAGTCACAGCCTGTTTAGGCAAACCACTCGGAGGCCAGGTCACCGTCAGTCACTTGGCCTTGGGGCCCAGACTCCAAATGTGCAGGTTCTCCATCTGTGTCACCCTCCAGACTACCAGCTTTCAGGTCATGGGGAGGATTGTGGGAGCTCAGGGGGAAAGGGCCTGGGGCCTCAGAAATGGCTCAGCTGGCCTCCTGCTCCCGGTGGGTGGGCAGCTTTGTTCCAACCCTGCTCCCCAAGCCACCCCTTCTGTCCGACCCTTGGATGAGATGACAACTCGCAGGCAAAGAGGCTGGGTATAGTGTACTTTATTGATGGTACATGACAAGGTCGAGTTCTCTAAGCCCCTC